TTTCGGGTAAGTTCATAACTTGGGGATCTGAGAAGCTAGAAGGCTGAAATCTGGGAATAATGTTCCTCGCCCAAGCGGCTATTAGTGGGCTCAAATCCAGCTCCCGGGTAGGCGTGGTACCCGCGTACGGACCCCCCAAAATTTTTCCCGCGCAAATCCATAACTCGGACCGGGTAAGCGTGGTACCCGCGTACGGACCCCCCAGTTTTCCCGCGCAAATTCATAGTACGGGGATCTGAGACGCTAGAAAGCTGAAATTTTAGGGGAATGTTCCCTGTCCAAGCAGATGCTAATGGGCTCAAATCCAGCCCTAGCGTGGTACCCCCGCACGAGCCCCCCAAAATTTTTCCCGCGCAAATTCATAACTCGGGGTTCTGGAGCCTGGTACCCGCGTACGAGCCCCCCAAAATTTTTCCCGCCCAAATTCATAACTCGGGGTTCTGAGGTGCTAGGAAAGCTGAAATTTTAGGGGAATGTTCCTCGTCCAAGCAGATGCTAATGGGCTCAAATCCAACCCCCGGACTAGAAAGCTGAAATTTTAGGGGAATGTTCCCCGTCCAAGCAGATGCTAATGGACTCAAATCCAGCTGGGAATGTTCCCCGTCCAAGCAGAATAACTCGGGGTTCTGAGATGCTAGAAAGCTGAAATTTTAGGGGAATGTTCCCCGTCCAAGCAGATTCTAACTCGGGGTTCTGAGATGCTAGAAAGCTGAAATTTTAGGGGAATGTTCCCCGTCCAAGCAGGTGTTAACTCGGGGTTCTGAGATGCTAGAAAGCTGAAATTTTAGGGGAACGTTCCCCGTCCAAGCAGGTGCTGATAAGCTCAAATCCAGCTTAAGCGTGGTACCCCCGCACGAGCCCCCCAAAATTTTTCCCGCGCAAATTCATAACTCGGGGTTCTGGAGCCTGGTACCCGCGTACGAGCCCCCCAAAATTTTTCCCGCCCAAATTCATAACTCGGGGTTCTGAGGTGCTAGGAAAGCTGAAATTTTAGGGGAATGTTCCTCGTCCAAGCAGATGCTAATGGGCTCAAATCCAACCCCCGGAGCTAGAAAGCTGAAATTTTAGGGGAATGTTCCCCGTCCAAGCAGATGCTAATGGGCTCAAACCCAGTCCCCGGGCAAGCGTGGTACCCCCTTACGAGT